CTAAGGAAAGGGATATTGGTGTAATAGTGGATCAGTCTCCAAAGCCATCCAAGCAGTGTGCTGTTGCTAGTGGTAGGGCAAATAGGATTTTAAGTTGTATCTACAGAACTATTGAATACAAGTCTAAAGAGGTTATAATTTTATTAAAAGTAAAATCCAAAATTACCTTGCTCTGGATACGTGATTGATAAGAATTTCAAGTTATGAAAAATAAAAAAAATAAAACAAGAAAGAATTTAATTTCTTTTATACGTATTTTTTTCTTTATTATCGATAAGGTTTTCTGGCAAAGCAAGTGATTATTTTATAAATATTGAAATATGCATGTATACATATAATTTTGGCTTTCCAAGTTGTCTCGTTTAACTAATTTGTTATGTATGTAGACCCATGGTGTGTCAGCCATAAGTTTACAGCCTTACAACCCTAAAATCTGAGGTTCGATTCAAACTGTGGACAGAACGCAGATAGTCCATTATGTAGCTTCACATTAAAATAACTGCATCCTTCTTATGTCGCCCCACCCCCACTCAGTGGCTCAGTGACAAGTCTATGGACTATCGCTAAAAATCGGGTTTCGATACTCGGGTTGGGTATATCATAGATAGCCTATTGTGTAGCTTTGTGCTTAACAAAAAAGAAACAGCCTTCTTATGTATCTATGCCCTCTTTGATAATTCACTAGTGCAGGATTTAAAGTGTTTGCTAGGAGAGTGGAAGTGGGCGTCGTTTTAATCCTGACGATAATCTCTAAGAAATCTTAGAAAATTCAATTGTTTTTCTTTCAATTTCTACTTTTTAATATATTTATTCTATTTTATTTCTGAATTCGAAATTGTAAGGAAAACAGGTGTTATGAATATAATCATCTTAAATAACTCAATCAGATCCCCTGTAACTCTTCTTGTTTCCAGTGAAAACAATTTGAGAGATTTCAGCCTCTCCACATATGACAATCCATCCACCCCAGGCAACATTCTAGTAACCCTTCTCTGAACCCTTTCCAAAAATGTAATATCTTTCTTAAGGTAAGAAGCCCAAGACTGAACAAAATATTTCAAATGTGGCCTAACCAGTGACCTGTACGGATTATTCTAAATGCACTCGTTAGACAAAACGCCTATCTTTTTGTTTTTCAAGTTACTTTTCCTATAGGATGTACATTTTTCTTTTCATTTTCGACAATCAGAGGGAAAAGATTAAAGTGAACATTAAACAATGTAGCAATATTCTTTCGGTTATTTTAGCGAAAGATATTTTTTTTTAGCTCACAGTGGTTAAACAGTTACTTATGGGAATTTTGATTGATAGATATGTGTTGTGAAGATTGCCTTTGCTCACCAGAGTTCGGGTACGTGTCAGGGGCTTCCTCAGCCCTTCTATTGGTGTTGAGTCTCTTAACTTCGTAGTTGCTTGTGCAAATGCATCCAAGATTGTATTGGCATTGACATAAGAAGTTCCACATGTCAGATGTGTTAGCTGACAATGCTACAAGAATGGCTGGATGGAAGAAAGCAGAGGGTTGTTACAAATAGAGTTCATTCAAACTGGATTAATGTTAAAAGTGGGTACATCAGGGTTCAGTCTTAGATCCTTTGCTCTTTTTGATTTACATCAATGACACAGATGAAAGAAAAGTCAATAAATTACTTAAATTTGCACATGATATTAAGGTCTTGGGTGTTGCTATTTGTGAAAAAGCTACTGCTGATTTACAAAAGGATTTAGATCATTTAGTGAGTTGGGCAAATAAATGGCAGATGTGTTTTAATTATAATAAATGCAAGATAATCCATGAGGATTGTCATAATTTGAATTGGAATAATCTTAACAGTGTCATGAAAGAAAGGGATCTTGGTGTAACGGTTGATCAGTCTCTAAAGGTATCCAAGCTACTGCTAGTGGTAGGATTTTATGTTGTATCTTCAGAAATATTGAATACAAGTCTAAAGAGGTTATAATTTCATTGTACAGGTCACTGGTTAGGCCATATTTGGAATATTCTGTTCAGTCTTGGGCTCCTTACCTTAGAAAAGACATCAAATTGTTGGAAAGGGTTCAGATAAGGGTTATTAGAATGGTGCCAGGGATGGAGGGCATGTTATATGAGGAGAGGCTAAAATCTTTCAAATTGTTTTCTCTTGAAAAAAGAAGATTTAGAAGGATCTGATTAAGGTGTTTAAGATTGTAAATGGAATTGATAGTGTTGATGTATTATATTTTTTCATATTTAACAGTGAGAATAGTAGGACTAGGGGACACAAATATAAATTTTGGAAGAGCAGGAGTCATCTTCAGTTAAGACCATTTCATTTTTCTAACAGGGTGGTTGGCCTTTGGAATGGGTTGCCGTTGGATGTTGTAGAGGCAGTAAATTAAAGTGAGTTTATGAAAAAGCTTGATAACTATACGAATGATAAGAGCTGGCTTTAAGATTTTGTAAAAATTATTTTAATTTAGTTTAGAGGATGGAACAGCACAGATAAATCAATAGATCCCATTATGTTATGTTAAAATGCTTTACCAACAGAGTTAAAGGGTTAAAAACAATTAAACTGTTAATAAAAACACTTTCTAACAACTCACTGCCACATGTCCTGATGTGATTTAGCCAGTGGGCCACTTTCATTTTTTTAATTATTCACAATTCACGGTATCCTCAAAAAAAATTTTTTCTTTCAAAAGGATTGTTTTGGATGTTTATATAGGTAGGTAATTAAACAACTAAACTTTTATTTTGGATCACCTAACGTCCTGGGGGTTTAACTCATCCATCGTATTTAAACATTGTTCCAGCGACAATCAGAGGTTTGGTAAATAATTTCTCAGAAAAGTAATTACAGAGTGTTAGTCATCAAAACATTTGTTTAAAGTTATCAACATGTGGAATGAAGCTAGGGATATGTACACAATATTCTCTTGCCAGATAATTGTTTGTATAAAGTTTTATTTCTAAACAACTGCGACACTTTCTATTATTCATCAATTTTATTTCACTAACCTGAACAAAGATAAAAATAAATAGTGAAGAAGGAATACCAATTAAAACATTTTTTATGGAAGAACAAATATTTCAACCACTAGTGTGATGTTTTTAATACAGAAATAATTAAAATGAACAAGGTATGGATAGTTATCTTTAATTTCTGTAGGTTAATGCCCATTTCATCTTCTTGTTGATTTCTTTTTATTAATACATATAAACATTATTGCCTTTCTTATGACAGTCAAATATAACTTGACAAAGTGTCTTACATTAATTCAAATGATACAGTTAATGTTACAGTATACCTTAATTTTAGTACTTCTGACAACTATACTATAACAACACCAACCAAGACTGCTATAAAACTATAATTTATACCTAATACACAAAACATCATGCACGTTTAACATTGTAAAGTAGTTCTTTGAAGTATATACTTAGTAAGAAAACTGTGCTAATAATAATAATATGCATTAATTATTCAATGCATCTCTATAATTATTAAAAACACATAATTCAAAGTCTCCACTCCAGTAGTTTTACTATTAGCAGGGTTAACTCAGGTTTCCATGACATTAGTAACATTACAGGTACAGGTGTTACACTTAATACAAACAACAAAAACATTGCTTCAATCTAATTGTAGTTTCTAATTTTAAAGATATCAATTCCTGTACCTATAGATGATTTTAATTTATGTATTCCTAAGATGTAAATCACTACACTTAGTTATATAGGATATTAATTTATGTAAAATTATGAAATTTACATAAAACATTTGATATTTATTAGAACTTTAAGAATTTAATTTTTAAATAGTCAAGTTTGATATATAAAAAACAAATATTTAAATAACAAAAATTAAAAATTTGCTATTTTGAAATAATGTTTACATTATCAAATACTTACTTTTTAAGGTAAATTACAATAAAATTAATATTAATTTATAATTTATAAACCATGGAATATTATTGTTAGTACAAAATTCGCAGCTTTTATGCAGTGAAATTCATCAAGTTAATTTCCAACTATACCGTCAACATCACCAACATGTAATGTTCAGAAACCAAAACCAACCACTGCTGTTGTTTGTGCATGACATATACAATTGTCACTAGGCTTAACAATAATACACCGTATTAGTTTATTATTTTTTTTACAGTATTTGAACTGACAGCACACCACGATCACATAGTTGATCTAATTTAACCTTACCTCGGCTTGCTCCCTCTTTAACACCTAAAATTTCTCTGTATTCTTTTAACTTAACACTAACAGTATTTGTAGCACAAGCCATAACTTATAATACATATACCGTGTCAAACTCCCATTGCCTATGACACAACTAAACACTAATAGTAACAGCTTCGAAACTTTTTCTCAAAGGGCGTAACCAGTGACATCTCTTGGCTATTTTACAAAATATATTGAAATGGTTCTGCTGGATGTGAGTACACATCTAGTGGAACTTTACATAAGTAACTGTTTAACCACTGTGAGAAAGTTGGATGTGAGTACACATCTAGTGGAACTTTCTCACAGTGGTTAAACAGTTACTTATGGGATGGTTCTGCTGGATGTGAGTACACATCTAGTGGAGCAGAACCATAAC